TTAGTTACTACTCTCCAAATTGAACAGTCTAGAAAAAGTCTGTGAAGCCCTCAGTAGGTACCACTGGCCCTTGTGGGCCCTTGCCATCCGTGTTGGGGTTTTCTACCTGTCTGTTCTTGGGCCCAAGACTGGATAGATGAGAGAGGTGTTGTCCCCAGACTTCAGTGAGCCTCTTTCCGAGTGAGGAGTAAACAGGGACCACTTTTTAGTTGCATTTGGGGGAGCCTAGGAGGGGAGGGTGCTAATATGGCATTATAGTTCTGTCACTAGAGAAAACAATGCCATAATATCAGTGCTTTCTTGAAGAGTCTGATACTTTTGACTACTCCTGAAGATGCCATCACTGGCCTGGGCTAAGAAAGGGACAGAGGCAGCTCTCGGGTTCCCCCCACGCTTTCCCAGGTGTGTGTGTTGGGGGAGGGGGAAAAGGTGCCTGGGTTTCCAGGATATCGAGCACGCTTTTCCTACACACATACACAAACAGCATTTTACGTTGAATGGGGTAAAGACTAGCAGGAATTTCTTTTTTTCCACCAATGCCTCCCGTTGAGAAGGGGGTTCTTAGCATGGCCATGTAAATCAATACCGAGTTATTTCTTTGAATTCAAAGGCTATTTATCCAGGTCTAATTTCTTTAGAATTAACGTGATAACTGAGCCTAACTTAGCAACCAAACCCAGCCAGGCCCTGCCTGGCTTGAATGTACTTCTACAGCCCGAGGAGGCTGCAAACCCTCCACCGGCACCCAATCTACCCCCTGACCTATGCGCGCTGCAAACACTAGTCCATAGATAGAACGGCAGGGGACTTTCCACCCAAAGAGACTGCTCCTCCCATGGTGGCCCTGGGTGCGCTGACCCACGCACAGGGTCTAGTGTTGGCAATCAGTTGGTATTTCTCTCTAAATAACACTGACGGCCGGAATACAAGCCCCAACACCTCAACGTCTTAAGCAAAAGGCAGTTTAGGCCTCAAACCCTGCCTCTTAAAACTTTTTAGTGAATATGACCCTCACCTACTATAGGCCCTAAAAGAGACTTAGGTCTCCAGATTGCCGGCTTTACTTCTGTTTTGAATGATAAAAACCTCTTAGGCCTCACCTGCCCTCCTCCTCCAACCCCCAGGGCTGGCTCGGGTTCCCCAGCCAGCAAGACAAAGAGGTTGGAGCCAGGACCGGGCTGGCGGCTGGCGACCAGCAGGGCGCAGGGGCCTGGAGCCCCTGAAGTGTGAGCCTTCGCTTCGAAGCCCTGAAGAATCCGGGAGCTCTTGACTCTCAAGGATGGGCTGGAGGTGCCGGCTGGACGAGAACAAACCAGGGGCGACTTGCCTTAGCTCATTACCGCCGCCCATGACACTGGGCGAAGGACTTGGCAGCCCAGATGCCGGTTCATTTGGAGAGAAGAGGCCGAGGGCAGCGGGTCCCCTGCCTCAAGCAGCCACTGAGCGCCGAACTCCTCGCACCGAGGTTGGTGGCAGAGGCCACACGTGGCAGCCACTCGCCGCGGGCCACCTTGGCGCACTGTGTGAGACCACACTAGCTCTCTCGCTAGCTATTCCCAGGACTAGCTGGAAAGCTGGACACTCAAGCCTGCAGTTTGGATTCTACCCTGCAAGCGCGCACAGAGACCTCTATCAAGCTGGGAAGAACCCCTCGCCCTCGTTCGCTCCACTCCCCAACCCCTGGCTGTCTGAGCCCATTCTGGGTCGCTCAGCAGGTCTTTACCTTACGCAAAAACTGCTGCCTCGGTGCAGCTGCATGCTTGCTCCCCTGGAACACAGTCCTGGGATTTTATCCTCTATCTAATGGGGGAGGGATGAGAGCCCTGTAACTACTACTGGGACGATTCCCGCCCTCCGGGCTTCCTTGGGTATTAAGCAAACAAGAAAAAAAGATAAAGAAAAAAAAAAAAACAACTTTGCAAAGAGAGGCTGCTACGCCCTGGATCTGGTGCTCAGTGCAGGGACCTTCCCGGGCCCGGCCACAACTCGCCCCGCTCGGGGTGAGGCCAGAGTCGGGGAAGTCGACGAGGAAAGCAGTGCACCTGCGAGCAGAAAGAAACACACATGTACGGAGGCGGGGGCGAGGGGGGCCTTCACCGTGTTAACAGCAAGCTGCAGGGGATAAAGCAATAAAACTGCCACGTCTACCTGCTGGCTCTGAGGACATTACAAACTCGGCGCGCAGCCCGGGTGCACCGAGAGCACGCCAGCGGAGGGGGGAACCTTCCCTTTTCCTGACTTTCCCTTCTCCACCCCCACCCCAACCCCAGATACACACCCTACACAATCTCCCCCTTACCCAGCCCACCTTTCATTTTCCTTGAAGCCTTTTTTGTTGTTGTTTTAATTCACTGCCGATTTGTAAACGCATGGATCGGGTTACTGGTTCGCGTGTTAAAGTGCACCTCTTGTTAAAAGGAGGGGAACAAGGCACACCACTTAAAAATGAATTCAGAGTTACTGAACCGGCTCCCGAGGCTCAAAAAGTTAAGCGCGGCAGGCTAGGAAAGGGAGGGGGAGAGGAGAGTAAACGCTGCTGCCCGGGGAACCCTGGAGAAAACCCACGGGCAGCGAGTTTCAGGTCATCTGATAAAATGGAGGAAGGGAGGAAGGAAAGAAAAAAAGAAAAAGGCAAACTAGTCTAGCCACGCTTTTAGACCCGGGGCTGGGAGCTGGGAAAATCAATTAGCATAAGCTGCTATCGCTCCGCGTAACTTGTAAATACAGTCCGAGCTGCCTATCCGCAGTCACCTTTTCTGAAGTTACGGGGGCAAGCGGCACCACTAAATTCTCCATTTCTCAGCTTCCTTGGGTCACACATCCTATGGAGTCCAAGCAAATAGGGTGCAAAGAAGGCCCCCGTAGTTTTCCCAAAGGGAGACCCACACTCGCCCCCGCAACCTCTAGACACTTTGGCCCGGAGTTGTTAGATTGTACATTTCTCGGTGTGGCCAAAGGCTCGCGGCTTGGATCTATTCGCAGACTGAAAGCTGGCGCCGAGCCCATGGGGGTCTGCATACCTTGCCCCCCAGTCCTGGTCCATTGGCAGTGCCGACTCCCGGAGCATCCCCGCAGTCCCAGGTCGGGGACCCGGGCGCGGCCCGGCCAGCCCTCCTCGGCGCCAGGTCCCCAGTCCAGCTCTCCTACCTGGTGGCTGGGCCTGAGCGGCACGCTGGGGCTCCTCTGTCTCTGCTCGGCTGCCTCGACCTGAGTGGGTCTGGAGACTAGAGGGAGAAAGGCTAGATCCGCAGCCCTGGGCGGCTCCGAACTTAATGTCTTTCCCCAGTCCATCTTTGAAAGAGAAGTGGTTCTACCACCTGGATGTGCGGATATAAATCCCCTTGCAAATAATAAATGGATTAATAATAACAAGGTATGAAGTTCTTTTTATAGAAAAAAAGGAGAGAATTGAAACTAAATGCGGCAGTTAGACAACCATTTTGATAAGAGGATAATTGAGGCGACACTGGTGTATAATTAGAGGATAATTTATGCTATATCCACTTTTATTCCACCTCCCAAAATAAACCCAGTCCATAATCATTACAGGCAAATTGTTCTGAATTTTATAGCAGCAATTTGAACAAAGTACTGCAGTTAATCATGGGAGATTTTTGTGTATTCCTGATTAGAACTCTAATTGCCTCCTTCCAGAAAGTAAAAATAACTGTAAAACGACTCTATTTTTATCATTAACAATGTTGACAATAAAATAAAATCAATTGGAATTGTAATCGAGAGACAAATTTAGGACGAAGGCACTTTTACTTGGGTAGTTTATATTGTAATCAAGATTTGCCAGACCACTAACCGCATGTATCATTTGCATATATTTGAAAGCATTACAGTAGCTTCTGTTTTCAATAGGAAAAAATGCATTACTGTCAGTCCTCCAACGATTTGCTTTTAGAACAAGCTGCTGCGTTCTGGGGGAAAAAAGATTTCTCCCCCCCTTTTTTTTGTTCACTATATAAGAAATAACGACCTGAAACGGCAGGAACCTCGCCAGAATAGGGTCTGATTTTTCTTTTTCTTTACTACCCCCCCATGGGGTGGGGCCCAGGTGTGGGGGGCTCTTCTTCCCTCTGTGGTTTCAATAAAGTACGTCTAGAAAAATCCACGGTGACAGGGTGCTCCCGCGGGACTGCAGTGGGACTGGGGGCGGGGGGAGGAGGTCAAGGGAGGGGGCCCTGCTTTAAATGCGGAGGACACTGCTTCTGAGCACAGGCAGCCTGCTAGGGTGCAAGGGGACTGAGAGAGAGCAGCCCTCTGCCAGGCTGTTCCAGGGCTGCGGTATTGGGAACTGAGGCTCCGGGTTTGGGGGCTCGAGCTGCGGCGGGAGGCGTCGGCGACAGGCCGGGCGGAGGCACCTCCCTCCCCGGAGGCCCTGTGCGCGGAGCTGAGCGGCCCCCGGCTGCAGCTCGGGGCTGGGATTGGAGTTGCCGAAGGTAGGCGAAGAACTCGGCGAGCCGCGCACACACCAGTGGAAGCCGTGCGCCGGTGACGTCAGGGGGCGACTGACCAATGGGGAGGCGCTGCCCTTTGGAGACAAACCGTTCGACTCGTGGCGTCTGCATCAAGTCTGAAAGCAGACGCGCAACTTTCGCAGAATCCACCTTAAAATCTCTGCCTTAAACTGCACCAGCCCCCAAAAAATCCAAGGGGGGAAAGAAGGGGGGGAGAGAAGATTCCCCCCTCCCCCCTCTCCTCTCCCATCCCTCCCCCTTCCTCCTCCCTTTGAGTTAACAAGGCCCCGCTCACTATATCTCTTTATATTAAATATATATATATATTAGAGAAGAGCGAAGGAGAGGGAGAACCACCTCCGCCCCCTCTCTCTTTTTTTAAATTTTTATTATCATTATTATTATTTTATTTTTATTTTTATTTTGCAAGGATCCCAAGAGCTAAGGTGGCTGCAGAGGGGAGAGCGGCGCGAGCCAAGTGGGGGAGGGTGGAGGAAACCCGGGAGAAGGCTTTCTCCAGCCCCGAAAGTTTTGATGATGACCATGACTACGATGGCTGACGGCTTGGAAGGCCAGGACTCGTCCAAATCCGCCTTCATGGAGTTCGGGCAACAACAGCAGCAGCAACAGCAGCAGCAGCAGCAGCAGCAGCAGCAGCAACAGCAGCCGCCGCCGCCGCCGCCGCCGCCGCCGCCGCCGCAGCCGCACTCGCAGCAGAGCTCCCCGGCCATGGCAGGCGCGCACTACCCTCTGCACTGCCTGCACTCGGCGGCGGCGGCGGCGGCGGCGGCGGCCGGCTCGCACCACCACCACCACCAGCACCACCACCACGGCTCGCCCTACGCATCGGGCGGCGGCAACTCCTACAACCACCGCTCGCTCGCCGCCTACCCCTACATGAGCCACTCGCAGCACAGCCCTTACCTCCAGTCCTACCACAACAGCAGCGCGGCCGCCCAGACGCGAGGGGACGACACAGGTGAGAGGCCGCTGGGGCAGCTCGCTTCTCCCGCCTCCCGGCTGCCCCCTACCCCGCCCGCCCCGTTTACTTCCTCAACGCCGGGGCCTCCGCCGGCCCCCTCCCCCAGGAGGCCCGGCGCGCCCCCGGCCAGGCCTCGTGCGCGCCCGCTCTCCTGGCGCCGGCCTGCCGGCCTCGCCCGGCCGGGCCCCTTCCCGCAGCCGCGGACCCTCGGCTTCCTCGAGGCTGGACCCGTCTCGCTCCCTCGTCTCTGGCGCGCCGCTCGGGCCGCGCCTCCGGCTCGGCGCGGGCTTCGCTCGACCTGTTGGTCCGCACTGCGCTCTCTAGCCCTATGGGTCCGTGCGCCCTTTGGCTCCCTCCTCCCCTCCGGGTTGTGAACCGCGTTTGGCAGGACTGGGGACATTTCTGGGCCGGAACTGGGGAGCGTGTTTTGCTCCCCAGCCTAATCTGGGCGGCCAGTGGCCTACTTTGCGTGAGGCGCCCGGTGCGCTTCGGTGACCCGGGGAGAAGCTGGCGTGGCCTCCGGCTCTGGTTAAGCTGGTGACAACTGGGCTCTTTCCCGCAGGCTTTGAGGTGTCTCCCACACCCACCCCTAACTGGGCCCTCTCCCTTGGGTTTTCGATACACTGTTGGCTGCTCCTTTGTTCGTGGAGGTGAAGCCCAGGGCTCAGCACCCCTGGGGGACAAAGTTGCCGCGTGAGGCTCAGCCTGCTCGGGTGCTGGTCTGAGCGGCTCGTTGTGTTTTGTTTGGGGTTTTGGTCCCTCTCAGCAGAATCATTTTTGGACACACCGAGGGATCTTGATGCACTGGGCTTGGAGCTAGTGACATCAAGCCAGCTGGCCGCAAAATCACTAGGGTGGCTCAAGCACACCTTAGAGCACTGTAAAGCCAGGCCGAGGGGCCCCGCTCCGCGGAGAGAGCAGTCGCCCAGCGGCGCCGCGCGCCCCAGAGAGCGGCTGGCGCCGCCTCCGCTGCGGCAGAGCTAGGCTGTTTGCCCCGGGGCCCAGGGCGCTCCCTCTGTACGGCCACTGCGCATTATGAGAGACAGAGTCAGGGTCGGAAAGAGGCTTTTGCAGCCGCTGGGAGCACCCGGGCACTGTGAACCCAGAGAGGTCAGGGTGGCGTGGGGACGCTTCGAGGAAACCCTTATTGGCTTTAGGAAGACTCGGCGCAGGCCAGGCCAAGCTCAGGGAGATTGCAGCAGTAGCCTCACGGGTGACCGCTCCTCTGTATCCTTTGTTTGCAGATCAACAAAAAACCACAGTGATTGAAAACGGGGAAATCAGGTTCAATGGAAAAGGGAAAAAGATTCGGAAACCTCGGACCATTTATTCCAGCCTGCAGCTCCAGGCTTTAAACCATCGCTTTCAGCAGACTCAGTACCTGGCCCTTCCTGAGAGAGCTGAACTGGCAGCTTCCTTAGGACTGACACAAACACAGGTAATTCCCGAGAAGCCCGAGTATTCCTGAAATGCTGACCCCACTTTCAGATTGGGCAGGGAGCACATCAGGAGGAACTCTTGGCCTAGTCAACCAAGGACGGAAGGAGCTTAATGACAAATGCCTTTGCTCCAGTTACGCATTTTCCCGGGACAACACAGTTTGGAATAAATGACCTGGTGTTGAATACTGGATTGGATTTGCACATCCTCCCAACCCTCGACGACCCCACCCCAGCCTAGTGTCCTTTGGCGACCAAACTGATAGTTATTCGAGTCCTATTCCAGAGTAGAACAACACAAAAGAGAACAAGCAGGAGAAAGAGAAAAAGATGTTCAGGTCAGGAGCCAGAATAAGACCCATGTTTCTTAAGGATCTTTTTGTGGGCCCTGGGACTTAATAAGGATTTCAACTCATTGGCATTGAAAGAATTACGAAGTGAAAGGGGGGTGTGTTAGCCAGACAGGCATAGGTTCCAATAGGATTTAGTAAGGGGACCAAGGTGCAAACTCTTCATCCTAGGATGCGTGAGGTGAGTTTTTCTGAAAATTGTCATAAACTCAGTGGTTAAATCGTCCTGGTTGACTGGTTGATGCAGGCTAAGGTGCCTCCCTGGATCACAGAACTTGGGAGCAATGGCAGAGCTGGAGATCAAAGAGAAATGTGCCCAAATTACAGCAGGTGAAGCCTCAGTTAAGTACAGTTGCTGAAGTTCTCCTGTCCTACTAATTTGAAAGACATATGGGGCATTTCAGACTTCACAGGAAGAGGTTTAGGCAGGTGTATTAGGACCCTGGTCATAAAGCCAGGGTGCAATCACCTGTGGTTTTTGTCCTTGTCGATTAACTTAGCTGCATGGGGTGGTAGGCCTCATCTGAAGTGGGTGATCTTCAGCAAGGGGACTTCAGGTTTTATGAGACTCTTGCTGGGGAGTGATTCTATGGTGCCTTAGAACAGATGCTCCTCAAGCTCTTCTTTTCAGTTCAGCCTGCTTTCTCTTGCCATGTTGCCACTGGAACCATGTATAAAGGGATTCCTGCTACTCAGTAGCTTGTATTCCTCTTGGAAAAGCAGACTCCTAAGGCTAAGTAATTTTAAAGGTACAGGAAGCTGTACCATAGAATGTCCTTTTTCAAATACAGTAGATCTGGGATGTTAGCTTAGATATGCTCCCGTCTTAGATTCCTGGTTCGCATTTAACTTTCCGGAGCCCTTTGACTTTTAGTGACTGCACTAACAGTCATGACCACAGTTTGACTGAGCAACATACAAAGTAGGGAACGAGTGAGGCACAGTCCCTAATCCCTGCAGGATTATGTCAGAAGAAAGATGCTCCATGTACAGTCTGTGGCATATGCAGTATATGCATAGGTATGGTCAAGGCATTTGGTTATAAATGTACAGGCTTTCATCTGTTCTTAGTCATTTGCTCACAGTACATGCAGAGATGCCAGACTATTTGAGGAAGTGCATTCAGTTGGCTTTCCGTTTAAAACTACTCCTTTAGACTTTGAAGCCAGCTATTTCATTCGCCTTTATTCTTGTTTTATTCTTATTTATGCTGTTGTTTCAAACCTAGGCTTGCATCTAACTGAAGAGTTACAATGACTTTAGGTATCCGGACAAGATACCAAGTAAATGGCGGGGGTGGGGTGGGGTAGGGGAGAGGGGAGCGGCTAGAAAGAGGTGGAGGAAGGCGGGGTCTTGAGGGCTTGGCGTTCGCGGGTTTGTTTTTTTTCTTCTCCCAGCTATAGGCACTGGTTCGATGTTTTTCGGGCCTAATGATCACTGCTGCGTTTTGTTCCAGGTGAAGATATGGTTTCAGAACAAACGCTCTAAGTTTAAGAAACTGCTGAAGCAGGGCAGTAACCCGCATGAGAGCGACCCTCTCCCGGGCTCAGCGGCCCTGTCGCCGCGCTCGCCGGCGCTGCCTCCGGTGTGGGACGTTTCCGCCTCGGCCAAGGGTGTCAGTATGCCCCCCAACAGCTACATGCCCGGCTATTCGCATTGGTACTCCTCTCCACACCAGGACACGATGCAGAGACCACAGATGATGTGAGTTATCCGAGGGAAATCGATACCCTAGGGAAACGTCTGAACAAGGCAAGGAGGATCCAGGACCTGCTTGCATCTGCCAAACCGAGCCAAGGAGCAGGCTTGGGAGGACTCTTATGTGTGGCCAGACCGTCTGGGTGCTTGCTCCCTCTCTCTCCTCTCCCTTCCCCTCAGCCTCTCTCTCTCTCTCTCTCTCTCTCTCACTCTCTTCCTTTTTTTGCCTCCCTCCTTCCTTCCCACCTTTATTTTTTTCATTTCCTTTCTTCATCTGCCTTTTCCCTTGAGCAGCCTCAGTAATTGATTTTGCATCTTAGAGAGAGAGAAGGAGAGATAGAGGTAGAGAGAGGATGGGGGGGACTGGTTTCTGTGCCAGCACTCCTGAAACCTCTCACTGTAAGGATATTTTCCCTTACCCCTTGGGATCCAGGCTCTGAGCCTCTTTTTCTCTTTGGGAGTATCCATCAAAAGGACTTTTTTTAACAGACATTTTCCCCCACCAGAAGAATCTGCGCAAACATGGCAGCGTTTTTACTTGTTTAATGAACTTAAGACATTACATGATGAAAGAGAAGCATTTCGGACTCCTGCATTTTTATTTACAATCCCAGACTGACGAAGGAAAGAAAGAACGGAAGAAAGAAAAAAAGAAAGAAAGAAAAAAGGAAGAGAGAAAGAAAGAGGGAGGGAGGGAGGAAGGAAGGAAGGAAGGAAAGAAAAAAGAAACCCTCACATAACAGCCCTACTCTAAAGAAAAATCAGCTGTAAGATTAGAACGTTGCCACAGAGGGAACGCTGCATGTTTTATCAAAATGCAATGAGCAAGAATGATGATTTAAACAAAACAAAACCACTTTTCCCCCACCCCTACCCCCAAACCCTGAACTGGAATCAGGAAAGACAGAGGAAACAACCAAAATCACCATTCTATTGCTTTGACATCTTTACTAGGTGAATTGGTGGCATTCACTAAGCTAATAGGGACATTTATATCAAGAAACATTTCTGTATATATTGTTGAATTTTAGTTGTACATATACTTTGTATGTTTTTGTCTTCTTTCATATATGGAGTAAAAGCCACAAAACGCTGGGAGTGTCCTGTATATTTCTCTCTGTGTGTCTCTATCTCACCACCCCCTCCTCCCTCCCTCCCAGTATATTTTCTATCACTCTTAAAAGAATTCCTATTTCCTAATATGGGAAACCCTATATATAAACATCAAATGCCTGCAAAGATAGCAGTTTGCAGCACTGGCCTTTGTCTTAAGTACTTTAACATTTACCATGGATGTTTTCTCAGCTTCCTTTATATATTATAGTTTTATTGTAATTTCTACACATTTATCTATTTTAAAAAATCATTAGAATGATCTAACCCCAGGTTAACCTCTAGACATCCAATAGTTTCCAGTGCTGACACTGAGTATTCTCCTTTCCCTTTCCTCAGCCAAAATAATACAGCTGTATTTGTCTTTGTTTGGAAGCAGCTTTTTTTAACAAAAAAAGAGGAAAGAATAAAAGAAAAAAACAGAAAGTAAATGCACAGTTATGACTACTTCATGTTTACAACCCTTTGCAAGCTAGCTAGATAGGAAAATACACGATCCTGGAAGAAATACATCCTTCCGATCTAGTGGAAAGCACAGAAATAATGAAAATGAAAAGTCCTTTCGTCACACAAGCAGGAAGCCCCATACTGCGAGAATTAATGGCTACAGACCTGGGCATCCTTCAAATTATGAACCTTGAAACCACTGAGCCATTTATCAGAAGTCAATAGAGATACTCAGAGTGCTCCATATAATGACAGCGACATACAGTCGTGCAAAAGGACAGTCACTATAATTAGACACAAAGCAAAGACTACTTACCAATATACCCGTTCCTTTTTTTGTTGAGCAACTTCCACGCTCAGTCAGTCTTCAGAATGGTTTAAAACCGATCAGTCTTGTCATTTTCTAGCATTCGTATTGTTACATTAGGAAAAATGTTTTCTTTTCTTTTTTCCCCCTTCCTACTGTGAAACTTTGGGTTCGTAGCTCCCCAGGATCAATTCTGAACAAAGCCTCCAGCTGCAGTGCCATCCAATTTGAAGCAGACATTGGGGACAATTTAAGGTTTTTATCCACAAGAAGGTTTTTTCCATTCTCTTAAATGCAGCCATAATTAGAGTAATTTTTCATGTAGCCCGCTGATTACAGCGTTTTTACCGTCAAAGATAATTACCTGTAATTTTCCTCCACTTTTAATACTAAAAAGCCATCTTTATTTAGATTCAGGAACAGGAAAGGCGAAACAAAAGAGGGAAATTATTCTGTTATTCATACACAAATTGCAGAGACGTAGGACCTAAAATTGAAAATTAACCAAAATTATAATGCTGAAAAGAATGGAAGAGGCTGCAGAAGTACAGCTGGTAGTGGGGCTTTGCTGAATTATTCAAATTACGTTAGAGAGGAAGCTACCGTACATCGAAACCAACACTAATTTTTCTTGAAAAAAAAAATTCACCAGACACATGCCAAACCACTGTGAGTGCATGGAATTCTGAAACCCAGAAAATGCATTTTAACGCATTGGAGGTGTTATCATGTTGCTCCTGTCTCGTTCTTTCTACCTCTTAATATGAGTTTAATTAAACAGGAAGTTCTACCAAGGGGTCCTCTCCAGAACTGGCTTTGGAATTGGGCTTCCTCTGGGTCCTCTGAACCTCAAGGGTTAACATTTTCTCTCTTTAGAATGTATTGACCCCATAGTAAAGTGATTCCCCAGAGAAGGGTTGGTAGGAGGGGCGTAGGCGAAGGCAGCGCCCAGTCTCAGTGCCTACTACGCCTCCCCACGTTCGAACTTCCCCGGAGTTCGAGTTCTAGAGCCTCGTTCTGACCATATTTTCCAAGTAAAAAAAAAGAACAGTAGCTGCATGGGCGGTGAGGGTGAAGGGGAAAATTTCTTCTCGGCGCCAATAAGCATCTCATTATCTTTTGACACAATTTCGTCCAAAGGTTCCCGCTGGAGAAAGGCCTTTCTGCATTGGGGTGAGGGAACCAAAGATTTCTCAGGCTCCTGCACTTAACATCTCTAGCTGCTTCCAGCATCTACTGGGTCAGGAAACAGCGTCATCTATAGATAGAACTGCACTGCTTCTTGCGAGGGTCTTCCTCGGGTGCATTCCTAAATCAAACTGGTTCCCTGGCTCCGCAGCTCGGCTCTGCCTCTCAGCCAATCGTGCCCCTCCAACCCCAAGGTCGCGGCGTTTGGGCCTCGTGGGCAACAGCTCTACGATCGGCATCCCACCCCTTCCCCCTCCCCCCACCCCCAGCTTGAGGCAAAGGCACCGCAAAGCAGCCCTAAAGGGTTTCAGAGGCCAGTTATTCCGGAAAACTTTCTCCCAACTGGAGGAAGGCGTCAAAGGGGCTATAAAGTCGAGAGATTCAGACTACACCTGCCGTTGCCGATGTCCGCATACCCGTGATGCTAAAGGAGCACTTGTCGCGAACTCCGTTTGCTCTCTCAGCGCCCCCAAACTTAAAATCATCGCCACATGTAAAGACCTCAATGGATTCGTCTAGGACTAGCTTTGAGTAACATCTTTTCAAATATATTTTAGATTGGAATCTCCAGAAGACTCCCTCCATACCTTACAGAAACCCGGTCCATTTCCCAGTCTCTAGTCACAAGCTGCACCAAATATCAACAGCACAGAAAGCAAGAAAGACAATCGAGTTCTTAAGGATCCCATTCTCACCCAAATCCTTTTACTCACCAGAACGACCACCCTTCTACTGTTAAGGGCGATAAAAGGTCAGAATTCAAAAACATCTCTAAAGCAAAGTTGCAGTCCATAATAAATCACAGCAGCACCACATATAGCTTGGAAAGTGTGAGAAGAGAAATATGAACTGTGTCTTGAAGTATGCAAGAAATAAAAACTTACCCCCAGTGAATATCTCTTAAGCAGTGATCAGGGTCTAGAAATCTATACTGAACAGAAGCAGAGGAGAATATTTTTCTGAGTCTCAGGGCAGAAGCTCTTTCTCTATATTCTTGGTTGAGTGAGCACATCCAGGTGTGAAATTGTTTGCACACCCCAGCACCTCTTATATTGCCAGCAAAATTAGCTGTTATTACTGTCACTGTTTAGTGATGGTTAGCGTGATACAAAAAAAAAAACCCTGCTGTAATCAAGACCTGGCGCATCTTTGCAAATTACAGATAATTGTAAACGTCCAGATTATGATAATAGCATCCTAATCCAGCCTGCAATATAATTATTACAGAGTGTTACATCTGAAACTGTCCAGTAGGGCTAATTCAGCCATTATTTAGACCCTATTTTTGCACGGCAAATGGGTTGCTGAGTTGAAAATGTACGATTGTAATTTCACAGGGCACTCAATGAGTAATGGTATAGGAAGAGGAAAATACAAAAGTGAAATGTGAACAGTAGCGATCAAATCAAACCCTGAAGGACAAAAGACTGATTCATATGGAAAAAGAAGAGCGGGAATTAAGAAAATAGCAGATCAGTGGTCTGAAGCATTACGTGTCCAAATCTTCAATATGTGTAAGGCTGATGTGTTTGCAAGGGCTTCTACATCTGCTGCTGCCTGGAGTCTGAAATAATTTTTCTTTTTCTTTCTTTTTTTTTTTTTAACTTGTCTTTCCCCCCCTTCCCCCTTCTCTCTCCTAAGGCATTATCTTCACTTAAAAACAAACAAAAAAAGTGCCCCTCCCCCAAGCAAAGACCATTTGTCAATTTCACAATTGTCTCCATCAAGGCAGCCTCAGAATGTGCCTGTCATTTGTTTATGAACATTTTAAAAAATGAATTTGCAATCTCTCTTGTCATCAGAGCAAAACGCCCTGGATGTTTGTAAGTGTTCCTAAGCTTCATCTCCATTCTCTTTCACTGGGAACAAGTCACTGAGAGTTCTAAAGGATATTAGCAGAAAATGTATTAATGGCTGCTAATTAAATAAAACCGGCTGGGAAGCTGTCTCCTCCACTCGGCTTCGCCGGCTGTTGCCTTTAATCCTATCACTAACTTTTATTAATTAACGCTCCCCTTCTCATGTAAACCAGTCCAGCTGATTCTTTTGCTACAAGTCACTGATGTACTTCTTTCTGTTTTCCAGAAAGTCTGGTATTTTTGTTAAAGAAC